AAAAAATGATCATTAAGGAGTGTTTGAGCTTTGTCAGATGATACTGTTTGTGTGGTTAACTTTTTCCATATGACTGAAAATGCTTTATGTGGATCATTAAGCCTTAATCCACTTACTTCCACAAACTAAATAAGATATTAACTTATAATTATTCGCTACTCATACAGAAAATAATTATTAAAATGTATTATAAGTTAAAAATTACTTGAAATCTATTTTTTAATAAAATATTAGTCTTTAGTGCATTTATAACATGTTGAATGGTAGTGGTTTTTCCTGTACCAAGTTTACCTGTGGTATGTATAACACTACAAACATCTCCAGCGTGATAATCTTCTGCAAGATAGGAATAAACCAATGCACACAAGGGATACAGAAGAAGAAGAAACTACTAGTGCAGTATTAGTAAGTATATTTTAATATTTATACTATATATAAATTTATATTTATGAAAATATTTTTATTATAATTAATACAAATAAAACAAATAATATTTTATATTATTCAAATATAATTTTACTTACGATACAAATTATAAATGCAATTAAGTATATACTAAAAATATAAATAAAAATTAGTTGCATAAATCTTGCCAATCAACTCGTCCTATGTCTGATACGTAATACATTTTAAATTCATCGCGGATTTCTTGTACTTCTAAAGCAGATTTTCGTGGGATTTGGGGCAAACTTTGGAATGATGACATTCCTACTAGCTGTTGTCTCCAATATCCTGGATTTAAAATTCCTGTGTCCATATCTTCGACATCAAAACTACCACTTGGACAATATACATGTTTTGAGTTCTTGCTACTTCTTAAATAATTATGTAGGTAAATGCATGCCATTGTAGCAGCCTCGGCTTTTTTTGGTTCCAACAACATAGGTTTTCTAAAAATTCTAAACACAGAAGATAGAATACCAAATGCATTTTCAATAATTCGGCGCCCTCTGCTTAGTCTGTAATTGTGTATTGTTTTTTTTTATTATTGTATGTTATTTTTACACTTTTTAAAGGAAATATCTCAAACTACTATTAACTCTGTAGAGCTTAATTCACCAATACCTACAGAACCCGTAGTAAGCAGTGCAATTTCATCTCCGATAGAAACGCCTAGAAATTCTGGGAAAAAAAAAAAAATAGTTCCGAAAATGAAGTAATGAGGAAAAGAGCTTTTGATATTCTCGAAGATGTATATCAAAATCGTGGAACAAGAGATGAATTTACTCTTCTCGGTGATGAAGTTGCAATGCAGGTCAGAACTCTTACATCATCTTATGCTCGCTCTACTGTTAAGTTCAAAATACAATCACTTCTGTATGAAGCCAGATTGGGGTATTACGATGAACCGCAAGTTAATTATCAAGGTAATCAGTGTTTAATATAAATACATTTGAATTTTATGAATTACGTAATTATATTTTTTAGGTTTTGAAAATTCAACAACACAACAATTGACACAACACGGTACTCAGGCAGCAACTCAATCATCTCAACCGTTCAACCAAAGCTGGGAACAGGTTTTAGAAGATGGTACTCAAAATGAAGATGCAAGTACAAGCCAAATAACATATCTTTAATCTAAGTTTTCATTTTATTTTCAATTATTATAAGATTAATTTTTATAATTTCCTACACATACTACTTTAAATTTTTAAAAATAAAAATGTTCAAATTTGGTTTGTAAATTGTTCAAATTTTTAATAATCTATTAAAAATGTAATACTTAAATTATGCACAGCTAAAATTAATAATACTAATAAATAATAATACATTTTGTTTACTTTTAGTATTATTCTATTCAAAATGTAAATGATTTACCTTAACGTAATGTTTCAATGATGAAATTAATGCTTCACACACTTCAGGTACTATGAATGAGATGGATGGTTGTGATATTTTAAATAAATAGGATAGGTCCATGAACGAATCGCCCGATGCCAAGAAACGAAGAGTAACTGCCAATCTTTCATTTATTGATATAGGTACTCGAAAATTTGTGTTCTGGCGTTTTATTTTAGGACCGATCATTTTTAAAATATCTTGAAAATCAGTACATGTCATCCGTAGAAAATTTTGAAACGTGCTACGAATACCTTCTCCTGGACTAAAACCTATCATGTCATCTTGGATGTAGTCTGCAAGCATACGATTTCCATTATATTTGCTTCTATCTAAACTTGTTCTTGTCCAAACTCGGCGTTTTTTTTTTGGTTCGTCTTCACTAACTAAAATAAAAGCTGCTGCTGCTAAAATAATATCTTCATCAGTAGACATTTCTTTATTACTAAAATATATTTTATATTCACTCAAATAATAAATGAATTACAAAATTGAACTACACTACACGACGGACGAAATTCAACTGATGATGTGGCCACGTGGGTCCGGAAAATAAATAAATTAGTTTTTATAAATGTCGAACGTAAAATGTCGAACGTATATAATAATAAATCTACAAATCGACATCACGTTCGACACGACACGTATGTTGTCGATCGACTGGTGTCGATCCAGTGTAATACCGGCTTTAGAATTAATTGTATCGTTTTTATTCCCAGTCTATTTTGTAGCCGATTAATGGAAATACAAATAATGTGTAATTATGATATGCGATTGTCATATGGAGCCATACCATTATCTTAATCGTTTTTAAACGTGATTTTACTTAAGTGTAATTTAGAAAATAATAATGTACGTATATAGAGACTGTGCAGTCGTACACCTAGCGCTCCCCGTAGTCAATGTACTTACTTTTACCGGGAAAGAAATCAAGCGCGCATTGGGCATAACGTATTGTGATGTACGTAAATGCCTACGTTTAATACTTTAATGTTTAATTTTAATGTATCGTATTATTTGTTATACTACAATAATATTACATTTTACATGTTTCCATTGTGATCTATAAATATTTTTATAGATACCTATATAATTCATTAAATTATAATATATGTTGAATGTTGATAACTGATAAATCGACAATCGAATTAATTAATGCTTTACGTACGACGTATTGTACCTAAAGACTAACTAAATTAAACTATTTTTCACATAGGTGTTTTGATTTTCCTTATAATAAACAAATATGAGTAAAAAATCTAATAACAATTGTTGTGTGGTGAATTGCAATAATACGTACAAAAATAGTACAAATATCAAATTTTATAATTTTCCAAATCGGGCACATGAGAAAAAAACTAAAGAAAGTTGGATTAAAGCAGTTAACAGAGTCGAGTAAGTAAATGAGAAAATTAGAATAACGCCTACCTATATTATAATAGGTATACCATTTAAAATAAAAATGTATAAAATGTTAATAATGTTGTACATTTATAGTCATATTGATGTATTAATTTTAATTATTTATTACATTGTTATAGTATTGATGGAAAACCTTGGATTCCAACAAAAAACAGTGTCATTTGTAGTGCTCATTTTATTGGAAATAGGAAATCACTTGATCCAAGGAGCCCTTCATATATACCAACAATATTTCCAAAAATTTACAGAAAGAAATTGAATGACCCATTACAGCAAAGTGCAAGATATGAACGAGCTATTAATCGTAAAAGCCTAGTTATTGAAAATCAATCAAACAATACTGATGAAGTTCTAAGAGGTGTACCCCTTATTGTGGATCAAAATAATATAAATACTTCAGTTAGTATTTGTACACAAGTAGCATTTGATGTGCCTAATGATAATTTTATTTTTTCTTGTGATTTTCATGGTAATAGTGTTAACACTCAAGTATCGATTCCCAAATCATTTCATAATTTTACTAAACCCACAATGGTTGAAAAATCTTGTGGGTTAGAATTTGAACAATCAACATTTTGTTTTTCTAAAATTTCATTTCATGGATATGATTCAATCAAGTCAGAAAATTCATTAAAAGACTTAACTGGCACAACTTTTCAAATATTTAACTTTTTTTTGACCCTTTTACCTCAAAGTAATAGATTAATTATAAGTAAGGAAAATACTCTTTTAATTTGTTTAATGAAATTAAAACTTGGGCTAACGTATTCATCTTTAAGCACATTTTTTTCAATTCACAGAACTACTGTTAGCAGAGTTTTTTCAGAATGCTTATTATTTTTAAGCCACAAATGTAAACATTTAATATTTTGGCCAAGTAAAAGTACAATAATGGAAACGTTACCAGAAGTTTTAAAAAAAAATTACCCTCATTGTAGGTGCATTATTGACTGTACAGAAATTCGGGCAGAACAACCTAAAACTGTGGAACAGAGGGTTTGTATGTATTCACATTATAAAGGAGGATATACTATTAAAGTACTTGTTGCCATTACTCCAAATGGAATGGTTAGTTTTTTGTCTAAATCGTATGGTGGTAGATCCAGTGACAGTTATATCACTAACGATTCTGGTTTTTTGAATAAACTTGAACCTGGTGACCAGGTCCTTGCGGATAAGGGGTTCCCTGGAATAAAAACAGGTGTTGATGGTCAAAACAGTATTCTTGTAATTCCTCCTATGCTCCATAATGGTAGATTTACCGAGGAAGAAGTTCTAAGCACTTATAATGTTGCTAGTGTTAGAATACATATTGAGAGGCTTTTTGCTAGGTTAAAAACGTTTAATGTACTTAATAAAATAACATCTGATCTATTGGTATATATAGATAACATTTTATTTATCTGTTGTGTGTTAGTAAATTTAAGCAATCCAATAATAAAACAATAATATACATTTATGTAAAAAAAATTTTTAATTTTTAATATTTTTTTTATTAACAATGTAAACTATTAAATATATGTAAGTATGATTTGAGACTTATATAACTCATATAATATATATTTATCACATAAACCTGTTGCAACATGATTATTTATTTAATTTTACATAAGTTTGGTAAATAATATGAAAAATAAAATATATCTATCTTAGGAATTAAGTTAGACAAAAAAATTGGATCTCTTTTTATAACCAACAATAAAGGTTCTATAAAATTGAAAATATAAAAGTGACAATCACTTAAACCTGTACAGTACATTAAAATTTGAATTTGTGTATAATATACTTGGCTAGTTTTCAAAACAATTTCTTCATTTGAAATTTGTAAATAAGACAGATTTGGTATTCCAGTACTTGGATCAATTATTGGTTTTTTTTTACAGGAACTAGGACATTTAATTTCTAATACTGAGATAATTTCTCCATTTCTCAAAATCAAACCATCAGGACTAGCACAAATCCAAGGTTTGGAGGAATGAATAATTAGTCCACTTTTAATTATATCAAAATTGTATGAAGAAGAGAACAACGTAAATGCTTTGTTTTCAGTCTGCAATCCATATAAAACATTTGATGCTCCTTTTCCTTTAATTTCAATCTCATTTATTAAAGATATGGCCAATTTATTTTTACTTTCATCAGATGTAGATTTTAATGTTTTTATTTTATGAGCTTTTGAACTAGCTGAAATGCGAAGCTTTCTGTATTCTAACCAAAAATTGTTTTGGGATTGGTCCAGCGTTAGATTGAAAATCTGTTTAATTGTATTAGCATTAACAGAAATATGAAGATAGAAAAAATGTGTTCAACACAATTTAATGGAAATATAGAATAATTTGAAGCCTCATTATGAGCTTGTTTCTTAATAAGGTTAAATAAGTGTACAGCATTTTTTTCAATTTCTAATTGTTCATCAATAGTATCAATTATATTAAATAATGTTTTAGAGCATATTCTATCGATTTCAGTCCGTTCCTCTTCATAAATATTTCTAGATACAGAGCATGGTATTGAAAGTATATTATGGTCCTGAATGAGTATTTTATGATTTATTGCAGGTACATCAATATTTAAACGTTTTTGTGGGAAAAGTTCTGAAATAGTTTTCCCTTTCTTATATAAATTTTCACCAAATTTTGAGGGCTTTCCCCATACCTGTGGCTCATTTGTTTTTGATGTCCCCTCATCATTATTAATAAAAATCATTATTGTTGCAATATGTTTGCAGCAAGATCCAGCCCCAGCTGCACATTGACACGATGCATTTTTAACATTTCTTAAACCGTCTAACTGTTAAAATATTAAACAAATTTTATAAAATCTACTACAGATAAAATCGTATTTAAATTACCTCAAGTTTCACTTTATAAGGCTCTAACGTAACACTTGTTTGCCTAACAACTGAACCAGTTATTACACTTAACCCATCAATTAGCTTCAGTTCTTGAACTCCAAACACATGATTACTCTCATATAACATTTTACCTTTGTCATTTGTATATAAAAAGTGTGGTTTAATACTTTGAAATCCATACTTTATTATTAAACTGCTCATTGTTATAAAAGAAATTTGTACACTACAATTATAAAAAAACTTATTAGGTACCTACTAAATGTAATAATGTAATACCAAATAGCTAAGCTTATATAGATATTAGATGGGTTTTAATTTGGAAAACCATATAATACCTAATTAAATTTGAATTATCATTTTTATCAACAACCTTCTTAATGAATGCGACTATCAAATTATATTATCAATGAAACAATACCATAATTAATTGATTATTATAATTTGTAATATTTGTTTTGTATTACCATTTATTATAAATAGTACTATTTATAATCAATGGTATTACGCTTTAATACAATGTATAACATAACAACATCGTCCCGGGATTAGTATTCTTATTGTCCACCAGAGCGCGGTGTTTCCTGGCATTTGCACGGGGAATTATTGATTCCGCCNAAGGGGGACGGTCTTCAAGTCCTTGCTGTAGGAGCTAGAAAAAAAAAAAAATTAAATTATATCTTAATTTGAAATTTTCAATATAATATTGGACTAAAATTTTAAAATTCTTACGTTCAGGTCGATAGGTGTTCTTTTTTTTCTTTTTCGCTATAAAACATAATTTAAAAAACATTTAATTAGATTATGTAGGTAGATTCTATGTTATAAACAAGGCAATCTAAAATACCTTCTCTGGTGGAGGTGGATTGAAATTCGGGTACCCTGGATTCCCGTAGGCATCCAGGGTACCGCGAATTGCATCCATGGTATACTGACTAGGAGTAAATAATAGGCGTGTCCCAGGTACAACCCACTGTATTTGTGGGTTGTATCTGGGATACACGCCTATTTCACCAGTGATGTTTTTCTTATGGTATTTTTTTTCAAATAAAACCTAGAACAAAAATGACTAATTAATACAATAGTTACAACTATGAGGCCAATAATTATTTAAAAATTATGAACTTACAGCTGTTAAACGTTCCGGATTGCGCAGCCAATCGGTCACCGTTAGTATTGGAGCTGCATTTATACCCTCCACGCCACATAGTGCATTTGTGTAAGCCAGCATCATATCTTCGGTCACATCGGTGGCCGGGATATTACGGCTGTACGCCGTATATTCCCGGACCACCAATGCCACCAGAATACGGAAATGCATATTATGACTGAAATGAACAATGACAAATTCCAATTAATATATATATATGTATAATAGATGGTATTATAATAGTATAAATTATTAAATTTCTACTTAAAACACTACCAATAATTATTTTTTGAGAACTTTTATTCTAACCATATAAACCATTATAAAGTAAGTAATTAATTGTTTTTAAATTAAACATTAATGAAAAAAGAATGGTAATGCTAATTTATTGAATATCGATGTGGAAAGTTTAAAAGCAGAAATTATGGTTTGCTTGAGGTGGTGATGCATAGCAAATCGGGGGATATTTTCGTTTTTAATTGTCCGAGCGAGCGCAGCGAGTGAGTGACCCCGCTCGGTGACTCGGTGCAACAAAAATGCAATTTTCTGAACCCTGTGACCCACTTGGGGAGATGTTGCATAGAAAATCGGGGGATCAATTATTATTGTACCATCGTTTTAAACAGGTTAGAATACGTAAGTACAAAAAAATAACAAAAATGGTCCTCCGCGCGGCATTATAGTAGTGCTGCTCGCATGCGTATAAACGTAAAATCTCAAACTTTGGAAGGCTGTAACTTCCAAAATAATCATTTCCGCAAATTAATTTTTACACCATCGTTTTAAACTCGTCGATATACATAGGTTTCCGAAAAAAAAATCGAAAAATTCGAGTGGGCGCTAAACTAGACTTGTTCCATTTATAAATCCCAAGCTAACCTAACCTAGAATCCCGAGGACAAATAAATCCCAAACAATATATACAATACCATAGACGGTATTACACAGAAATGGGATTTTCTGCCTATGTACCTACCTACCAAACCTACCCACCTAGCCAAAAGATTAATATTTAAGAGGACGTTATACCCGCATGGGTTGTCTCCGTCTTACAAGTGCGTAACATAGCAAATTGTAGGGCAAACGTAAATTGCGCCCAACGAAAGGAAATAGTTGTAAATTGCGCCCGCTATTTTTCAGGTATAAATTTTTGTGTAGTAAATTGCGCCCGGTATTTTTCAGGTACACATTTTTGTGTAGTAAATTGCGCCCGGTATTTATCAGGTACAAATTTGCGCCCTATAGAAGTATTATTTTTATGATTGTCATTTAGCATTACCCAGAGGACACCACGAGGAGGCGACTATCACTGTCCTCCAAAAA